CGATCTTCATCGCAACGTCCATGACATGCTTCATATTTAAAATATTGCTGTTGTTGATGAATGATGCAGTGGTAGCTCAAAAAATCCGGGAAAGTTTCAGACCGCTTGAACAGAGCAACAAATCCAGCAGTGCGCCCAACCATAGATGGAGCCCCATCAGTTGTGATAGATGTCATTATCTCATTATCTCTTCAAATTCCTCTTCGCACTTTAGAGTCCCTGGTAACAACCTAGCAACCGTGACAAACCATGCCTAGCAATCAGCATGCATAAAAAAAGGTTCCCTGCATACTTTTTATTTTTCATTTTATTGTTATGAAAATACACATTGGCCTCTCTTGAACAATAATTGGATTAGTGTTTTTTACATTTTTTTATTTTTTTTTTTGTCAGCCATAAATAGGTTAACATTGTAAAACTTCTACATTTTTAGTCAATGTATAGGCTAAGAGATTTTTTTACCTTCTAAAAACTGGCAGATTCAGAGGATCATAATAAATATCTTCTGTGTGATCTTGGTGCTTCTTTTTAAAAGTCTGGAAAGTATTCCAGATTTATGTGCGTGGTAAAATTTATAGTTTTACGTATTGTGTTTTTTTGTTGCTTTTTTTTAACTTTTATATATGGAGAAGTTTTTTTTAGTGCTGAACTCACACATTTTGTAGATCTATTGGAAAATCCATAACTTTTATCTATTTAAGTGAATTTGGAGCAATTGACCCTCTATTTCAAAGAACTGTTTTAAAACAATTTCTCTTTTCAGATTCAGTATTTTAACTTACCAACAAAGTCAATGGTTTTTGCCTAATTAAACACGGTACTCTGTGCCGACATACACTTGACAACTTAAAAACAACGGCTGATCCCCAGAGTGAGTAAAGGCCTGGGAGATGAGTTCAAGGAAAAGTTTATGGAGTAAAGTTTGTATCTATGATTATGATTAAAATCATAAGCTCCAAAGTTGGGAATAAAATAATTAAACTGCACTCGCCCTTCAAGGCCAAGAGCTTTGCATGGAGCTTATAGTACATAACACAGCTGTATTCTCGAAAACAGATGGACCTAATGCCCTTCGCCTACAGAGGTAGGAAACTCTCTTGTCTTCTATCAATGTAACATATTACCAGGATCTCACAGCATCTAACTGTAAATTTTCACAATAAATATCTGTATTTTTACATTACAAGACTGTATTACAATATTTGCAATATAATACTATAATTGAGTATTCTACTGTGAAATTGATGCTTGCACAATAGATTACTGTAAACATTATTTTTCACAAACTTCACAACATTTTAGTGTAGTGTTTTTCCGGTAAAATACTATAATCACACCATCCTTTGTAATAAAGAATTAGCTTAGAGTAAAATTATACTTACCTGAATTGCTTGTTTGTAATCAGATTTGGCTTTCAGTGAAAGTCGTTCTGACAGCGATGCCAGAATCTAAAATGCTGCTAATACTGCTCAAAGCGCTGGTATCAGTACGGAGCTCAGGTACCAATCCTATATCTAATATATTGATATTCTATGTGCTACTTTCTGCTATTTAAGAGGGATGAAGAAAACTGATCACCCGGGTTTAAGGATCCTTTTGTTGCTCAAAAAGTAATCTTATTATTGGCAGCTATTGCCTGTGTTTCTCAAAACTGCAGCCACATACTCTAAGAAGTTTTGCTTGTTACTGGGATTGCAGTGGGGCAGGCATTGCATTTGCTCTCTAAGCCTGGTCATCACTTACTCTCTGGAATTCCTGAATGGCTATCCTCCTTTAACAATCCGCTTTTCAACTGTAAAAGTTTGGATTTTGTGAGCCGTAAAAGAGAGCAGATGAAGAGAGCACTCAGACCTGTGACAACTATACAACTTAAAAAAATAAAATGAAACAATATTAAGCTAATGAAAATATTTTCCTGGTCAGGATTAGTTGTTCTTGAACACAAGTTCAATTATTTGATGTATATTGTCTGAAAAGTTGGACAAAGTGAAGGAAATAATTGGTAAAAAGATGTCAAGAATACAGACCATGTAGCCTGACGATGTACTACTTTTTCATCTTTTCTGTGTATTCTAGATTTGAATACTATACTATATATTGTATAATATGTTCTAATGATTGTTAACACTGGAGCGCATATCTGTCAAAAGTAATTTCTGAATGCTTTACAAATGTAAATAACGAAAAATAAATTGTTAATTCAATGCACCTACATTCACAGAGTAGGGTCCACCAAATGATGTAAGAAGTCCTCAATGTTCCCTTTATTTAGATAACAAGGCCATTATGAAGTATATACAAATGCATAGATTGTATTCAAGCAATATGTTTTCTCACAATAAAATGCATAGATTATCCCGCATACAACTGAGACCACAAAGTTAGTCATGCTTCCAAACGGAGCAAATGCAATACAGGAGACAGGTTTAAACATTTCCAAAGCTAGAACTGAAAATGCAATTCTTTTTTTCCCCTTCAGAATTATACACATTAAAAATAATTTAGGTTGTATTATTTAAAACAAATAGATAATCCAACATGCAACGATGAGTGAAATATTTTAATAGAACACACACTTAAAATGAGTTGATGTACTAATCATTCGAATTAAAGACTTAATTGTTTTTTTCAAGTTCATTTATTGTCAAAATTTTGAAATGTCAAAAGTTAAACCCAGTTTAAACTAAAGATTAAAGTTAACTGCTTTGTTTAAATGTGTTCCTATATATTATCATCTATTTCTCATTGATTAAATATGTCAAACTCTTTACATGACTAAGTGTTTTTGATTTTACAATAGAGGGGAAAGTAATGATCTTCCATGGTTGATGATTGATGTCATTTAAAGTTACAAAAGTTATTTGAAATGTCATATTTTATAAAGTATAAAAACTGCTAAATAAAAAGGATATACAAGTTTAGCTGTTTAGTAATTTCCATTAAGTTAAAATTAAGAAATAACATTTTCTACAATAAGTAAGAAAAAGGAACTACAAAAAAAGAAAAAAAGTTGGGGATAGCCGCTATGTAAGTAGACATAATAATGTGAAATGCTTTTCAGAGAACTTCAAGAAAAAAAGGGTATTTTCTTTTAAGACTAAGATATAAATTTAGATTCTTCTCAGCAGTGACGCACTACAATTGCTTTTAGGAACTGAGTTTTTCCACATCATTTGCCTCATCTCTTACCTCTGTCTCTGGATCTACAGTACCGTAATTCACAAAGCATTTAGCATGGAAGGTGACACAATGCCAACTTGTGTATCAATTCCAATAAGTGTTTGGATAATCAATAATAAAAATGGAGGAGTACAAACCTATTATTACTGCACCTTTGGCCACAAGCAGCAGTAGGCACAGAAGTGGAACAGCAAAATAGAAATACAGGGATCTCTGAAAGCATTAAGGGACCCCTAAAGTTTCTGTACGGCATCAAAATGGGGGAAAAAATTAGGGATCCAAATTTTCATTCAGTATTCTCTGTCAATATCAAAGCACAACTAAATAGACGGGCATACATTTAAAACAAAGACAGCTACATTTTATGCAGGGTTTTAAAAATATATAATTGAAGATTATTGAAATCATGCTATATGAGAGGCACTCCTTAGTCAAAAAAAATGTTTGATTTCTGCTTTCACTTCATAATACTATGTTGCATGAACTTCCAGTGTTCACATCAGGGGCCACTGGAATGAAAAAGTGTGCTGCTTTTATTCCAAAAGTCGGTAGGAATAAATTCCGAGAACTTGTAGTGTTTAAAAATTCAAATGCATAAAACCACATTTGTGATGTAGGTATTCTCGTCTTACATCCTAGTTTGTGTAATTGGAGGCAGCCACATGGTCTTTCAGTCCCTGCCTATTGTGCATGTATAGGGATGCCGATTGTGCCTATTAATATATTAATGCACATGTCCTTTGTGCATGTTTTTATGTTCAGATACAAAAAGCATAATTCCTCCTTTATGAAAATGAGTTGCATAAAGATATTTTTGATATCCCATAGGGCTGGCATGACTTATGGCTGACTGTGACATACCTGCACTGTCAACCAACTCCCACTTAAAAGCTTCAGAATTAAAGGAATAGTACACCCAAAACATGATTAGCCTTCATTTTCTACTCACCCCCATGCTGAACAACACTCTGGAGTACTTTTTTGATATCTCAAATGCATCTGGAGATCTGGGAGGCTTCTTGCTGTCTGCTGACATTCAAATAATGGAGGTCTATGGTGACCGAGACAGAAAGGTCCATAAAAGTCCACAAAAAACGTGTCAATATTCCTCCATACTGCTCGTCCAATGTATTCCAAGTGTCCTGAGTGGGTAGCATCCAGAATTTACTCGAAACGAAGTCATTTAGAATGTTTTTAGAGCATAAACAGTAGTGTATAGGATTTCCTGAAAGCGCGCACATGCGCGCTCACGACGCTACGGAAGCCGGCAGACCACACCAGCGCATTCAGCTCGGCAAAGAACTCATGCTCTTCCTCAACACTGAAGTCCTCAGACATTTTTCTTTCGTTGTTTCTTTCTTTGCACAGGTAAACAGCACATTTCTTCTTCTACGCTTGCATTATTGGCAGAGCAGACGCTGAATGCGCACTTTCATCTGGTTTGGTCTGCCGGCTTCCGTAGCGTCGTGAACGCGCATGTGTGTGCTTTCAGGAAATCCTATACACTACTGTTTATGCTCTAAAAACATTCTAAATGACTTTGTTTCGAGTAAATTCTGGATGCTACCCACTCAGGACACTTGGAATACATTGGACGAGCAGTATGGAGGAATATTGACACGTTTTTTGTGGACTTTGTTGGACCTTTCTGTCTCGGTCACCATAGACCTCCATTATTTGAATGTCAGCAGACAGCAAGAAGCCTCCCAGATCTCCAGATGCATTTGAGATATCAAAAAAGTACTCCAGAGTGTTGTTCAGCATGGGGGTGAGTAGAAAATGAAGGCTAATCATGTTTTGGGTGTACTATTCCTTTAAGGAACTCCAGTAAAGTAAGAAACTTAACTGCCACCAGCAATGCATGATTCTTCTTGGTTTTTATTTGTAATGCAAGGGAGCAGCTTCATTTAGAGCTCGACAATAATTGCCTTGGATAATCAAAAAAGGGAAAATGCCATGCATCATCATGTAGCATTGATGATGTCATCAAAAAATTTCAATGCTATAGTTATATAGTTATATGTAACTTAATGCAGCAATTTATGAACATGTGCGATTGTCTACACCTTGTCTCTCATATAGAAAGCATCATCTGTCTGGTTTGGAGTACCAATTCATTCTCATTTAGAATGGAAGTGCCCCTCCGACAATTTGCAAGCATCTATGATCCTTAGCACTGTGTCCATTTTCATCTACACCTGAAAAAGACATAAAATCTTTTCAGTTTACATGTTATTGAAGCTGCTTTCATATGGAGCTAGAAGTGTCAATATCCACAAACACACAGCACTCCTTAGTTAATAACTGAATGGCATCAAATCATATCAGGCCCAATATTGGCATGAATTTCCTCCCACTAACTTAACGATGATTCTTGTACATCTCAACTTATGCACTAGATGGATAATTCGTACATGAGGCCCTTGATGTAAACATTTCCAGAGATCTTACTAGGAACCTGCAGAATCCAATGCTTTTACTTTATAGAAATTGAGATGGATGTGGGTAATACCTAATCAAAATGCATGAAAAATGTATTATTAATACTTTGGCAAAGGATAGCACTGACACACCATACATGTTGTGAATTAGGATGAAGGATAAAATATATGAAGCTTGGGGAATGTTTGTCCAAAGCTGTCTGTAAAGTGTAAAAAACAATTAACCAATATAAAAAAAATGCCTGAAATCCTGACTATGTTTTAATTATGAGGGTATTATAAAGCAAACAGCATTGAAATGTGCATTTATTTGAAGTAAAAACAAGTCACTCGTCCCTGTGAGAATCTTTGTGCCGCTGACGGGCATCTCTCTCTCTAACTCGATCCCTATCTCTGTCCCTGTGTTTGTGTCTTTCTCTGTCTCGATCTCGGCTCTGATGGTGGTAGTTGTGATGATTGTGCACAGGATAGAGATCTGGGTGGTGAGTCCGTGTAGGAATATGTTGGTGATGCATTTGATATCGGTTGCGATCGTTGTGCTCCTGCTCATAGCTGTCTCTGTCATGTAGCTGACCACGATGCCGCTGATGATGATGGTGATGGTGGTGGTTGCTACTCTGATGGTTATGGCTACGGTGGTTATAGTGTATCTCCTCTTCCTCACTAACACCCTCAAACACCACTTCTTCCATTTCATCCCCCCTCTCCTTAGGCAGGTGTCTCGTTGGGGGCCTCTGACTGTGATCTCTGCCTGACTTAATATTCACACTACCAGATATTTGCTGGGTGTGGCTGTGGTGCTCTGTCCGGCGGTGGTGGTGGTGCTGGTGATGGATGTGTTGGGTTCTTTTAGGTTCTGTCCTCAAAAGTTGCTCCTCTTCTTCCTTCTTTAGATCTTCCTCAACTTTGTCTTCTTGATCTGGGGCTGATGGAGGCTCCTTGTCTGGGTGGTTCTCACGTGAACCTTTCCTCTTGGGGACAGCTGACTTCTTACTCTTTTGCTCCTCCTTGGAAGAAAATGAACACTTTAATTTCAATTAACTATTGATGAAACATTTATACAATACTCAAACTCTGCTCACAGGAAGCACAACATAATTGAACAACATGAGGGAGATGAGTACAAATGTTGAAAATGAAAAAATGGAAAATAAATTTTTTTATCTCGAAATGCTAATTTTTTATTTTATTTTTTTTTTTCAATAATCAATTTCAGCTGATAACCATTTTGAGAGTTCTGGCAACCAACTCTTACCAGCATGAATTCCCCCACAGGCCTTGGCTAAACTGAGTTTTGCCCGTCTTTCCCAAGTGTTCGCCATTGGTAACTATTAAACTACTTTGCATGGACCATTTACAGATATATTTCGGCATTTATAGTGCTGAACAGATAGAGCCATAATGTACATTTACTGCAATGCACAATCAAATTATTTATTTACAGTAATTTATAAATATAGAATATGTGTAGCTGTGGAGCTTAACACCAAACAACATTATAACTATACATACACTAATAATTTATGAATACTGTATACTGTATGTATAGTAATACTTAGTATACATACAGTATAATATTGCTAAATTCTATTGTTACTATTGACATTATTTTTGTACTTAAGGATTTCACATACATTTAAGGTAATAATGAAAGAAAACACAGAGAACCATTGATCTTAACATGTCATCACTATTTTAGAATATTTTATAGAAAGCTCGGCTACCTTTTGATTGCTTTCTACTTTTAATTATTTCACACTTTTTAAACTTAAGTTGTAACTTGTTTTATTTCTTATCCAATTCAATAACTATTATGGTCCAGAATTTGCAGGCATCATACAAAGTTATGTAAGTAAGGCTCAATACTTGTCAAACCTTTTTTACCAATACTAAAATAATAGAACTACAGTGGTAGTTAAATAACTCTCACTCACCAGTTATTGGCCTATTTCATTTCTTCTTCAACTTTGCATAGTAGTAGGATGAGAAAATATGAAAATGTTAGATGGTTTGCTGGAAACAAGTACAAATGAAGCAGAAAAAAGTAATATGATAACAAAAGGTATGTGTGTATAAAAGAGGGTTGTTTTTTTTTAAGATGTATTCAAATATATAGACATCACATGAATGAGATGAAATTCAATGAGATGAGATTCAGTGTGAGGGAGATTTTAAATAGAACTTTAGAAATATCAGCGTTCTAAACTATAATGATATGCACCGGTACAATTGTTGGAGTTGCAGGCAGAGTGTTCTCAGCCAGCTGTGCAACAAGTGCATTGGCAGGCTCCATCTCTGGTGGATGTGTGGCTCTCCAGTAGGATTCAAGGTAATCAGCAATGTGCTCACAGGCATCAGACAGCTGGTTCTCGTCCAAGATGACATCAAACATTTCCTAGAGACAATAAAAAAATTGAGAGAAATTAAGTCAAATCTGGAGATTTGCAGTGGCATGCATTGACAATTTGGGGAGAAGTGTTCAAGTGGGAAAGAAAGGCACCTTTTGTGGCCCGTGGAGCCCCTGGATGCCTTAATAGTATAAGATTTATTACATACGTCATGTATATATATGCTGGTGAAGATTGCAATTCCTGACATTTTGAATAAAAATAAAAAAAAGGTTCCAGGTTGGGAAACGAAACATCTTCAAACTTGGAAACAACGTCCAGTGGATTGTTTTTAATTTCCTTTTTTTTTGTCATGTATATATCAATTTTAATCATTACCCCAATACTCACAGAGGCAGATGTTTAACAATGTTCAACACATTACAGGTTGGTTTCTCGAAAAGCTTTATACTGGCAATAAAGCAACAGAGTTTAAATTAGTCTCTACAATATAAATAACAATGTGAACTATATAAGCAAATTTGAAAATAACAAATTCAAAAACATGGGAATTAACCTGACCTTTTTTCTTGGGGTGGGGTGGTCGGGGGGGTGGGGGGTCTATCAGATTTAAAAATACATACAGAAATAAATAAATAAGCATACAATTAATTGCCCCCCAAACTACAATAAACAAATAAATGTAGGTAGAAATTTAATTATACAGTGAGACATGAACGTATATATCTCTTTATATTAGCTTCTTTAGTTATTCGCCTTTGTAATAATTACCTTATTTATTTATTGTCCATATAATCTTCAACTTTATTTATTAATCACATATTTTTTTTCTGTATTTATTTTTAAATGTGGTAGAGATGGTTCTCCATATGCTATGAGACTTACAGTAAATAAATATTATCATTACTGTTTTCTTTAAAGGTGCAACATTGTTGGTGTCATGTCTTGAAGCATATATTTTGATTACAGATTGATTGGGACTATAGACAGATTACAAAGTAGATCTTACAACTTACTAGTAGCCTTTAAGCGGAGCTTTTAGAAGTTGAATGTTACACTTTCATAAAACTAGATTTTTTTTTTCCATTAAAACACTGAATTTAATGTGTTTGTAACAAAGCAGGCTGCTGTAACAAATTTAGCAGGAAGCTCGTTACTCATCTTCATAAACATGAGTACCGAGCAACTTTTTTTAAAGCTTAAAGGTAAAGTGGGGGAATTTCATGAATTTTTGAAAAAACTCGCTCTCTCCAAAAGAGTTGCTGTTTCCATCGCTCATTTTTTTTCCCAGCTTTTTTTATTGTCATTACACTGTCACAAGTACAGAGCAACCACATGACGTCTCTGCATTTGACCCATCCCTTTGGGAAGCAGTGGGCTGCTATTGTGTGGTGCCCGGGGTTAAGGGTCTAAGGGAGTGGGGCTGGAACTCAGAACCTCTGAATTCCAAGCTCAATGGCCTAACCATAAGGCCACACTCCCCTTCAACATGCTTACTTTCCAAAAGAAGATTAGCAATTTTTCCACTGCGTCGGACTCACCAGTGTTATGCCGATAAATACCTGCCTGGCAAGAATTACCTCCTCTCTCGCACACAGATAAGAAAACATATTTAAATACTAATAATTAAAAAAGGAACTATAAAACATATTCATGATATTTTCATATTTATTATGCATGGATGTCCTAAAATTGAAAGTTGGTCGACAAAAAATGCAGAGAAATTCCTGGCTGCTGAGAAGTAGCCTACGTCCCCTGTCGCAGGAGAGTATTGCCCTAAACTCTCATCCATTGATGAGAAGACAGATTGAAATATGAATGAAAAAGGAAACTTTTAAACATATTCTTAATTATTTGTCAGAAATAATACAGTGAACCCTCCTTTATCGCGGGGGTTACGTTCCAAAAAGAACCCGTGATAGGTGAAATCCGTGAAGTAGAAACCTTTATTTTTTTTACAGTTATTATACAATGAAATACTCCATACAACATTGAAATCAAGGAACAAAAACTTTTTACAGGCCCAAGCATTTGTTTAACAAATAAAAGTAGCCTACGGTATAAACGTTGTTGTTGTCTGTTTTTTTTGTTTTTTTTTTACAAATAACTACTGTACTGTGCTGTAAAATAATATAGTTATAAATAAATAAGTAATAATTTTAATCATCAATACGAAATGAAGGGTTAATATTGCGGGGATCAGCCCCGCCCCGCCGTGACGGATTGGAACGGGAGAAAATGAAAAATGATAATGAAAAAAAATACAAAGTACAGTAGGACAAATAGTGACTGACGTGTACAGTACAGTACAGTATTTCATTGCTGTTCTGACGGAGCCCCTGCAGGTGTGTTTTTTGGAGAGAAGAACATAGTTATCGGTAGTTGTTGTCGCTCTTTTTTCTTCTGGGCCAAAAGATCCTTATAAACCGACATGCCACCATTGATATGTTTGACAATAAAGTTTAACAATGCATGATGCAAATCCGTGAAGCAGTGAGACCGTGAAAAGTGAACCGCGTTATAGCAAGGGTTGACTGTATAGAATGGTGTTGATAGCAAAATCGGGAAATGCCATATGCTGAACAGAGAATATATTCACCATATATTCACTGACTGTAGCACATCAACTGAAACGTGTTTCCATACAAGTAAAAATTTTATTTATCTGTGCTCCAAAACTCTCAATGTTGGGGCATTAATAAATAAGAAATATAAAAACCATAAGAATATGTTTAAAAGTTCCCTTTTTGTTAATATTTTAATCTGTTTTCTCACCAGTGTGCGAGAAGGGAAGTTATGCCTGGCAGCTAGGTATTTCTCAGCATAGGGTTAGCTGAACATAGGGAAGAACATGTAGGATGGCCCTACATGAACATATCACCAGAATGATTGACAATTAAGAGGACCAATTATTTTGATGATCCACCTGGAGAAAGGACATTCTCCACTATGTTCTTTCTCCGGATGTGTCGGATTAAATAACTTTAATCTTAAAACGTGACTACAGCAAAGTCTGGTCCATTGGTGGATCAGTTGGTCTGACAAAAGGCTTTCATATCACTGCATTTTACTACATTTTATGTTACATAAATTTTAATTATTTATAAGACTTGGCCTCCATCTGTTCCTACATAGTTCAGAAAGGTATTAGAAAGAATGTTTCTTTTTGCACTGTACATTACTTTCATTGATTTGCATCTCTTATAGCGCAAAACAAAGCAGTTGTAACTCTTTCAGATTTCCAGCAGATGTCACTCACAGGTGGACACTGGGCCAGCTTATCTGCTGCCACAAGTTGAACATTAAGATGTTTGGTTTGAGACTTCCCTCTTGTCTTGATCAGTCTGGTCAGCACCTTCACAACACATATAGAGTATAACATAAACAGAAAGGATTAAAATAGGACATTTCTTAAAGAAAAGTAGCAAAAAAATGCATAGATTTAGATAATGTAATTTTATTAGGTAGTGAATGATGTAACATACTTTTGGTGAGGAAATCTTCACATATACAAGGATTGGTGCAAGGGAGGTCTTGGACACCTGTATTGGGTGGTTAATTGTGTCTGCATCCAAAATTACAAGTTGCATGCTCCGGGCCAGCTCAAATATACGCTCCACCTCTCCTTGGATCTGAGCTACAAAGACAGAAAATGTAATCTGTAAAGACTGCGAAACAAGCAGCCAAAACCCAAAGGAAACTTTTAGATACTGCAGCACATAATTAAGATGATCATTCAATAGAACAGGATTTTTTTATGTTTTATTCTTACACTTTATTTTATCCTCTTAATTGAGAAGAAAAATAATTTTCTTAAACTGCTATAAAAATAAAACAATTATAATCCTTAAAGGTTACTTCCCTCTTTCTTTTAAATTCTTAATGCCCTAGCATTGAAGTTGATTTATACTGATATCACTCTTTGTTTAAAAAAAAATGAATGAAGCAATACAACTTTTCCATTTTCTATACGATACCAATACTGTAGCTTTAAGTATTGACGGTTTCGATATTGACCTAAAAAGATAACAGCATAAATATCACATACTATTATTACTGCTTTTTTTTTTCAAGTGAAATGTTAGGAATGATATAAACTCAGACATTAGTCAACAACAGGTCAGTTAATATGTCAGATTAACTGACCTATTTATTGTTAACTAACGGGTTACATAAACTTTAAATAGAAGCGGAGTCTATCTATGGGCTGGCTTATATCTGAGATTTTAGATGCAAGCTGGGAAAGTTCATCATTCGATTTTAGCCTGATATCAATACTAAAGCAAGATCTCCCAAATATTAAATTTGTTTCAACTCAATCCATCACATACCCTAGCTTCACTATAATAAGCAAAATGTGTTTTTATCTTTAAGTTTCTATTTCCTTTTCCATCACATCATATTATTTTTACATAATATCTTAAACAAATTCTAAACGAAGCAAATAACAGATGATACCTTAAAGTGAGAACAAAATTTATAGGCAGCATTCAACAAAAGCTTTGCAATAAAATGTTGCAGCTTTTTTGTTGTTGTTTTTAAATGTAATACTTCCCATCAACAAAGGTAAATGAGTCAAGCTTTCTTGAATTCAGGGGAGGAGTAATATCCAATCGTGGCCACTAGAGGGAGCGCATTGAAGGACTTCCAGTTTCTAGACTACCTGACGTATCTGACAACCCACTCACACCAAACCACTTCACTAGACTTTAGGTATAACTTTCAAAATGATGAAAGTCTCTTTCTTTGTTTTTTTTACTATCAATAAAGCAGGAGGAGAGAATGGGTTGCAGCAGCTGATAAGGTAAGAACAGGCAGAACGGGAAGGAGGTGGAGCTGTCATAAACACAAGGACAACCAGTGCTTTCAGTCGTACATACCAGCAGTATCTGGGATGAGACAGCAGTGAGAGAGACAAGAGAAAATCAAGTAAATCTTATCCCTGCTCTTTTTAAAACCTTTTTCTCCTCATCTACTGGAATGTATTGAAAGGATCAGGGAGAACACAGGGAGGTAATTGTGACTATCTTACAGGATAACGTCACAAAACATGTAATAAAACATGTAATTTATCTAAAAATCATTTTGTTTACAAGATAAGACGTATTGATTCGAAACTTCCTCGTCAAATCTGACAAATGGAGCATGTTCATGCTGGTTTTGATCGAAATATATCAGAAAATATAGAGCATCACAGCTTGATGCCTTTAGGGATGCATAGCTTTAGATCAGTCAGGATAGCAGTGTTAGGCCTGAATGACTTACATCACATTTCTAAACAATATTTTATTGCAAGGTTCACTTTGCAAAGCATAGTGCACTATTGTTTCTCACATTATTTCCTACTTTACTTTTTTTTTTTTTTACAAATAAAAGCACACACTTTTATTATGGTTATGTCTTTAGCTTCACAACGCTGAAAGATGCTGAGCATGACACAACAAAAAGCGTCTGCTAATTAAGAAATGAATAGCAAAGCAGCTTCATGAAACATTTTGTGAAACAAAAACATCTATCTTGATCTTGGAGTTGCAAACATATTAGATGAAAATGTGGCTCATTTAAATTCTCTGGTTTATCTGATTGAAGTGTTGTTGATGACTTTGAAAAACGACCTGCGTTTTGAAAGAAGTATAATAATAAGCACTGGCTCCCTGTATCTCAGAGAATAGACTTTAAAATACTTCTGTTAGTCTATAAATCTCTGAATGGCTTAGCACCTACATACATCACAGTCTTGCTATCAGTGTATCAACCCTCTTGACCACTCAGGTCTTCTGGCTCCAGCCTGCTCTGCATGCCTAGAACCAGAACTAAACATGGAGAAGCAGCTTTTTTGTTTCTGCATTTTTTTTCTTTTCTTTTCTTTTATTTATTTATATTTTTCCTACTTGCTTTGATTCTGTTTTCTTTTCCTATATTTTAATCATGTAAAGCACTTTGCATTGTCTTTTTACTGAATTGTGCTATACAAATAAATTTGCCTCTGCCTTTGACAAAGATTTTACATTTTGAAGTGGCCCAGAGAGTTACACACAAACAACAGAACAACCATCAAGGTCTCAGATTCTGTGCTTAACTTTCTAGCACTGAGGGTGAGGTATCAGTTGTAACAGTGATGAAACAAAAAACATACATTAATCTTTAAATAATTCAAATCAAATGAATAAAATATAACAGAACTTCAAATATCCGGCATTTCCACAAGAGCTGGCAGAAGTTCTAGAATGATATTATCTGAACTTATTTTAGGACCGACATAGTTGTATTTTACTTGAATGATGCAGTTGGACTCATGTCTTTGCACATGTATTTCAAATAAAAAGTGAAAACCTCAAAGAAAAATTGGCTAGCTGCAGAGATGGATGCTAAACTACGTACCTAAATTAGAGCGTGTGTTGGTCCGGTCAATTAAGGCCTTCTTTCCAGGGTTGTTGAGGATAGAGCGTTTAGCCAAAGAGATGTCCGCTGTGACCCTCGTAATGGTGATCCTAGAGAGCACACAAATAACAAGCATTATTTCACAGTCTGAAGAAAGAGAGGTTTAAAACATGTAATTAAAGAATAACTTACCTCCCTTCAAATCTATGTTTTAGAAAGTCGAAAAGTGCTTTTTGCATCATATCAGTGACCTGGAATTTTAGAAATAAAAAAGGAATTGGTTTGCTAGATTGTTATTGTAGGTGCTGTACCTTAACACTCTCTTGGCTGTTTTCTCCTGCTCTTTCTATCAATTGTTTGCAGATACCATTAAATTTGATCCGTGTTCATTTTCTTTGTATGGAAGGTATACATGAGGTGATTCCTCTTTTTATTATCTGAATGGATACTCAACCAAGTCTGTGTGCATGATCATGGCATGCTGTGGCGACCCCTGAATGAGGGAGTAGCTGAAAGGACTCTCATCTGTGTGTGTTGTTGTTTGCTTGTATCTATTTCCTAGATCTCCACTGACTCCTTAAAAAAAGGGCCAGGACTAGTATGTGTTTTTTTTCTCTGTACTTTATTTGCTCCAGCCAGTCGCTCTTATTTAGCCTGTTTCTGCAGGATGTTAAACAGGACATTTTCCCTTCTAATGATCCCATATACCTGCTCTCATTGAAAGATGCCTACAAAGCCATTGACAGTAAGAAATAATAAAAGATAATAAATAAGACTAGTAATTCAAATAGCACAAAAGTAAAAAAAAAAGGAACAAGTTATTAAATTTAGTCATAAAATATTAGTTTTGAATTTAACAATTTTAATAAGAAAAAAAATCACATGTAAACAGTTGCAGAACACATATGTAATGGTAATCATGACAATATACATATATATGTTATTGTCATGATTACTATTTTTTATATTTTGTTTATTAATTCCTTTTGCCAATTTTTATTTATTTCACTGGCAGCTGATTTTGTTCTGTCTTTAATGGAAGGGTATGTAAGTTTTCAAGCATGACTGCAATCTGATATGAATTGTACCTTGTAGTCTTGGAAAACATATTTAGATTACATTTGTTGAGAGATTTTGAAATGAAAAAAATAACAAAGTGAACTGAATGAAAAGTTAAAGAAAGCTCACCTCTAAGCCCTTAAGGGATGGTCCCATCAGAACCACGGGACGCATAGTAGGCACTACGTCATACATGGCCGTCTGCTCGCCCTGTAGATGCAAAAGGATTGTATAGGGGGAGGGGGCATCTTGTTATAAGCAAAGGGCCTTTTTATTAAACCCCTTGGCTTTCTTATCAGGATGAACAGACAACTTACAACATTGTTTAATTGTTACATTCAGTTGTTATATTCTTTAAGGGAAAAGAAGAAAGCAACAAGTTTTATTAATTTATGCTTTGGGTTTGCTGCATGAACAAAAACTGTATATTTAATATCTGTTACTCTTTCTGCTCAGCCAACAATGCAAACTTGGAATGAGATGTCTTTTATAAGCTGTTTGTCAAAGAAAAACTCCAAAGCATTTTGGTTTCTCATCTCTTATTTTCAACCATATATGTTATGTTTTCATTCTGGCCAAAAAAAAATATCAGCAAATTTTACCAATTGGGACCGTGGCCCTTTTATACTATAAATACAGTACCTAATATGCACATATTGCAGGAAACTGAAAATTATATGATGAAAAGAAAGTTTATTTACAATCTAAAACAAATGAGATTAGAATAAGAACTGAAACCAAATTAATCTTTAAATTCCAGAGAAATGTACGCATAAATAAGTAAATTAGATGAGCTCCCAGAAGTATGAGATGTTACTGTATGTTGTTTTCCAGGACATATCATGACAGTAGCCTGGTTCCCAGGGATCGATTGTCTGTTGTTTTTGTTAGTGCCTGTTTTGCAAACTTTGCAATATACAGTTTGACATTTACAGTCATTTTATTTCCATGTAAAATGTCCTTAACACCATTAGGCATTTATTAATTTGTTGTTGACCAATGCAGAGCAATTTGAAAAAATTTTCTTATTCCCCCAGTCTTTACACTGCCTGTAAACATGAGCAACAGTAAAAACAGCGTGCTTTAAGTTCCGTTCCACTCCTGTTTGTATTTCAGGGACAATATTGCCACAATCTTTGCAGAACTATGTATTAGGACATTAAAATTAAAGGAACTTTGAAAAAAGGACTTTTGTAAAGACCCTTTATTAAGGATAAATACAAGGGTTATATCAATAGTGCTTAAAATCCTCAACTCTGAGATATACCCACCTTCCAATGTGATGTATCTTTTATGCATAAACCAGGGCCTAATTCCTCCTTAATCTATTCCTGAGAGTATTGTATCTTTATTTTATCTAATACCAAATGCAAAAATAGTGAGAAATGCTTGCTAGCGAGATCTAATAGAAATTGCAAAATAGGAAAAAGGTCTTGCTAGCAAGCACTTCTCAACATTTTGCATTTGGTATTAGGTGGCATTTGGTATTAGGTGGTATTTGGTATTAGGTGGTATTGGTGTTAGATACTAACAAATCATGTGGACATTTTATATCAAAGGCAAACAGTATTTTCTTTGAAGATGCAATTTATCTTGATCACTCACCGGTTTCTTTTTCACTTGCTGGTTGGCTGCTCACATACAGAAAAGCCAAAGTCAATTGAATTATTATTCGGGATAGCTTACACCTGTGTATATATATATATATATATATATATATATATATATATATATATATATATATATATATATATATATGGTAGTCAATGTACAAACTGACCTTGTGAAGGAGGAGTGTATTTCTTTGAGTTCATATCTTGAGTTGCTTGGGATGCTGCTTTGCTGAAACAAGAGAGTAGTTTGGAATTAGTCAGTAGAGGTTTGATAAAATTTCACATCTTCACAAAGCTCTAGATTAGTGTTTTTGCAGTAAAAAATGTTTCATTGAGACTTTATAAATATGCATGCATGATGCTAGTGCCTTCATCTTAAGCTGCCACTTTGCAGACTCGTCTCAGATTGTTTTTGTCTGAAGGGGTTAAAATGACCAAACGTCTTTAAAGATTTATTCATAGTGGGGTTTTTCTCTTCAATTTCATTTGGATATTTTTAATTAATAGTACAAAAATAATTATGCCTAATCAAATGTACTTGCATGTGAGTACAGTTGTATCATGGATGCACTTATAAAGACACAGTTATACATTCCAATGCCTTATAGCCACTAGAGGCACTAAACCTAGAAATTGAGGGTTTACTGTCCCTAAAAGCTACTGGTAGTACTACTGCCCTGATGAAAAATTAAATAGCAACCCCCTGTGTTTAGGAACCTTATAGAAGACCACTTTGAACCAACAGATTGAGAAATCATAAGTGTTATTTGTAAAGACAAGGTCACATTCACCACTCCAAAGCTGTCTAATCGGATAAGTGTCGTACCTGTTTTGTTACCTAAAAAAAACTTTTAGCTTGATTAGCTCTAATGTTTAAGGATAGTTAAGACTGTTGTAAAGCAGTGCTGCTTATTTAGTGACAGATCTGATTTGCTCAAGTTTAGGCGAGTGATTGAGAAGAGAGAGAAGAGCAGCCCGCACAGACAATTGAATCCCACCAAGTTCTGTATATTGACACAACATGCTTAGATCAAAAGTTACCTAGTGTTGATTTAGGCAACCACAATGTTAATGTTAACCACAATTAACATTAAAACGTTATACTTACGTGTTATCTTTATATTTTAAGAAACTGTAACAACTTAGCAACGTATAAAGAACAAGTAACCTACTGTAATAATCATGAGATGGAATATCGAAAATGTCATAGTAACAATAAAAAACAAAATCCTGTCTTTTATTTTGCTAGTGTAAGTCGTGTGGCCCTTTTATTATGTTGCAAACCAGTTTGTACTAAGTTTGTGAAAAGTGTGTAAGAGTTGTAAACATCAGGCCATATTTGGAATCTTCTTGCACACACCTTCTCTTTCTACAGCTGTGATTCTGGCTTGTTTCATTGCTTCATTCGCATACAAAAATAGTGTTAACCTAATCTACTTTTGCAGATAAGTTGATCCTGGTTGTTAATTAAAAAAAAGCCGACAAATTAGGAATAGTTTGAAACTAACGACTCATTTGTTGTAGAATATAAGCAGATCTCATTGCAATTGATTCTCAAAGACATTTCACACCTCTGAACATTATTTTCCAACATTTCTTTTTTAGGACCTATTTAAAATGAGCCAATATTGAAGGACTCTATTAATTGATCACTGTATCAAAACACTGTAATTCAAGCAGCCTTTTTTACATACCTAGCCAAGGCCTTGGCAGCTTTCCTAGCTTGTACTTCTCTTCTGATCAGAATGGTTTCCAGGTTGACCGGACTCGGGACGAAGCCCACTACACCATCCTCCTTCACTGGCCGGCCAATCCACCACTCATTGTTGAATTTCTTCCATTTTCAAAGCAAAAATCACAATGGTAATGTAAATATAATTGGATTCAGCATAATTAATTAACTTCATGACATAGCTTTATTATATTTCATGATAGCCTCTCAACACATATATATTTCAGTAACTTAGATTATCACCAGTTAATGTATACCAGCAATTCCATTTAACAAGTGAAAGCAAATACTTGTACAAAAATTGTTCATAGATTTTTTTAAGCTTATATTCCTGTTAAAGTTAATGATTTTGTCATACAGCTTCAAACCGCAAATTTTATATTAAAATGTAAGGACTACATAAGTTTAAAAAAGGTAATGCAAAGATATTAACCTACTGCATCAATGAGAAGTGACAAACACTTAAGCTTCATGTTTAAAAAAAATCACATGCATTATTCTGTGAATATGTTTATAAGGAATCTCTACAGAATAAGTTTCATTTTTGAGCTGAAGTTCTAAATTGATGGGTTTCCCTCTACGTTTCAATTTTTTTAGATAGGCCTATGCAGACTGCTCTTTGGTTAATGCTCACCTCTTTGACATGCAGGAAGTCTTTGGCCTCAAAGGTGACGGCTTGCCCTGGCACAGGGACGTTGTCGTCATCAGCTGGTGTATAAGAGAAGTTGCAACGTACAGCAAATGCAACAGGCTTGTACTGAGGACATGAAACAGATGTAAGAATTAAAAATGCAAAACTAAATATAAATACTAAATATATATATATATCCAATACATTTGTGACACAGAAAAGCCCAGGCAAAAGTTGCTAGTAACATTTGTTATATTTCCAGTACAACAAATAATTATGTCATTTTTGATAAAAACTCTGTTATACTTAGAGCTGAAACTAACTTTTATTTTTGAAAAACTATTGATTATAAAAGGATAAAAAGGATAACAAAAACACAGATATCAATTTATTTTATATTATTTATTAAAAAAAGCACAAAAAGAAAGAAAAGGCTGTTCAATGTAAAGTGTCCTGAATTGGATCTGTGATGCCTGATATCGAATCACTGATAACCAATCCAGGTGTCAGATCGGTGCATCGCTAATAATTACTGCTATGATTGCTTTGCTCCATCAGCTAAAGGCATGTTTTCACATCTATATACTCCAATTAATGCTTATTTGATTACTAAATTAGATGATTATTTTAATACTCGATTAATCAAATTAGTAGGATTTATTGTTTCAGCCCTAGTTGCATTCCAATTTTTGCAGCAGGGTGGTCACAGAGTGGGTTTGCTCTTCCCTGTTTAAAAATCATGTTGCTGATTTAATTCTATAAGAGTCAAAGTTCAGTGGCACAAAAATCAAGCTGCTAATTACTCAAGTTTAAAAAGTTGAGGCTTTAGGGCCAGCAGGGTTACAACCAGAAGGGTTCTCCATGTTAATTACACACCAGTGGGAACACATTAAATCTGTGGGTGATAATCTTTTTAAATTCTTTATTTAGACATATTAGCAGGGAATGCTTAGACGGTAAAGATGGGCTTACCCTAATGTGGGCTATGACTTGTTTATAGTAATTTAGCATGTGTATTTCCTATGTGTATGATACTATAAAGAAACTATAATAATGATCACACTTCCTTAATCAAACTGCATCCTTTTCACACGATCCTTTTCACATTGCATGATACTTTTTTGAGATGCCATTCCATAAAGCACATTTTCAAGCCAAGATTGAAGATACTGAACAAAAGTCAACAACAAAACAGTACCTTAGCTTTTTCCAGCTGCACCTGGGCATTTCTTTCTTCAACGATATCAGAGTCCTGACGCTCTCCCTACAACAAACAGAACATTATGACAGGGTTAGGCGGAGGGTATCGTGAAGCATTTTCAAGTAATGAAATACACTGTCAGAAAATATCTCTATTGGCACAATAGCATTTTGCTTATTTTATTTGGATACTCTTTGGTAATAACTGAATCAACAGTACTTTGTATACTGCAAGGCAATTAAAGCTTTGATCCATCTCCAACCAGTAAAACTTAAGCTAAAATAATTTAATGAGATTACACTGATGCTAAAAACACATGCTTAAGTGAAATATCAAGTAAGAAATCAATATTCAAATCAATTTCAAAAGAAAAACATGAGGCAATGGACAAATGATATGAGGTTTCAGTCATTTTATACTGTATCTTTGGCGCACAGCTATTTGACAAAGGTTTCCATCTAAACCAGAATAAGTAGCAATGTTTGTCTACCCTGGACAGGTAAGCATAACATTGTGGGACAGGTATGTCTTTTTTAAATCTGGGAAGTAACTAGTAACTCAAAGAGACACTAACATGAATTAGGAGAACATGTAAATTTTAAAACCTTTGGAGGACATTTTTGCTGTAAGGCAAAAACAGTAATGTATAGTGTTAACTGCAAGTGTTGGCTCTCATTAAAGCAGAGGTCTTTATATTTTCTGTCTTTCTTTTTGACTGTAGAAAAAGAGAAAAATCAACTCCTCCAGTGCTTAAACTAAACTATTCTTTCTAAAATGTTTTACACTGGTTAAATGTGTCACTGATGAGCTTTTTTTTATCTTAATAAAGTCTCTTTGAATTACTTTAAGATACTCAGCTCAGTGAACTTGGCTTTAGTTTCCAAACATTGTCAAAGATTCCCTGCCTGCATGCTTCAAATGATGTGCTAGAGTCCAAGAGATTAGACTGTTCCATCAAAGACATGGTAACGAATGCCCTCTGTGTCATATCCATGATGTTGGCATATCGTTCAGTGCACACTCAGGATATTCCTTTGCATTCTATATCAACAGTATGCCCTTCCATCCAGGACTAATTTGCTTTATTTGCCATTGAAGGCTCCTGCCTTTCTCAGGATATGGAGAGACCACAGGTAGCAGTAGAGAGCAGTGCAGGCTTAGGAGTTAAATCTAGAATAAAGGACAAAAAAAGTTTGAGTTTTGAGTTTGGTGATTTTTATTTCACCACTGCATGTTTTCTGACACAGTTAAACAATAAGGCTTAATGATTTCGGCAAAATCAGATGTTGTTATCTTGTTTTTCAACTAAATTTGCAATTGTGATTTTATTCAGAACTTCCTTTGCACCAACCACAAGCATGTAGGTGCTTCGCTACAGGTTGTCATTGTTTCTATGAAAGTTTGTTTGTCCTGAGTCAATTGTGGCGTGACGTTACTTTGTCTGTTGAATATTAAAGTGTTTACATCTACTTACATGCATGGATCTGCATGCTAGCTGCAGCAAACCCACTGTAAGCCTAGAATTGCCATCTTGATCCTGTTAAATGAATCCATGATCAAAACTGAGTGTCTCTGTGATTTGAAAATTGCTTTTTGTTGACTTGAGATTATATCGCAAATACAATTAAATACCAGACCCTATTAAACAGTGGCATAAAATTATTGCAACTGATTTCTGAAAGTAGCACATCAAGTACCATGTCTCTTTGAGAAAGTGAAATAAACACTAAAAGCACAGCTTACATGGTCAACATCTTTGGATATAAAATTACATATATAAAAAAAAAAGAAAACTAGAAGATGAGTACTTTTTCTTAAATTTGAATAGATGATTTGATTCCTTCCCACTATCACCTCAATCCTCATTACATGCGGGTGTCCAAAACATTGCTTCTATAAGTCAGGCCAATAACGACCCTAACGACTCCCTATTACAGAGACGTGGGCCAGTTTCAGTTTAACTAGCAGTCCAACAACGACCTTAATGACTCTCCAATACTAAGGGGTGGACCTGTTTTGGTTCAAGTTGCATGTTGTTTAGTCTTCAACTTCAAAAAAAGAATACAGTGGTTGGGGGGTTTTTTTACATTTTTTTTTTTGGAATGAATTGAATAGTAGATACATTTTGTTAAAGATTTGTTAGGAATAGGGGAAAAATACCTAATAACCCTGTAGATTTTTTTCTGAAAAAAAAAAAAGACCAAATGTTTTACACCTAGGTTAGAGATGGTATCTAGAAAATTAATAATCAAATGTGGAACCTGTATTGAAAAAGAATAGTATGGTAACAATTTTAAAATAATTAAAACCGTCACCAAGAGCAATAGAAACAAAATTCCCCTGGAACAAAATAGGCCCAATCATCTCTTTTTGTTTATCCATCCCAAGTGTGGACATCTGTTCGCACAGCACTCACCTCTCCTGCAAGCCAACTTCACCCAGCCAACAGTACTAAACAGCCCCACCGAATTAGACATGTCTTACTTAGGTTTATTGTGCTGAAGTCCCCTTATTTAAATGTAGTCATAGTAATAGTATTTATTTGAATTAAAATGATTGCAATAAGGTTAATATCAATTTAGAATCACATTATTTATGAGACATGATTTACCAGATGCAAAGTAACAGCAGAGTAAAGATAAAAGTGAAAACAGATGCAGTCATATCAAATAAACATAATGAAAAGTTAATTTGAAAAACTGATTTCACAAAGTGAAACTTTTTATAAATTATTAAAAACCAGTGATCGTTAAAGAATTGAATTCATGTTCATGTTGGAGGATTTTCTGCATACAGCTAATAAAATTACATTTAATGAATATTACACCAGGCAAATATAAAAAATCCTGGTAAAGCTATGTGATGTACAATAAATCAAATGCATGTTTAATACTTAGTTAACAGTAATTTTAAAGGAGGGATTTTAACCTGACAAACAAGCCTTTTCAGAACTCATTCTAATTTATTGAAAATGATTCCATTCAAAATGGCCCTTTCCAGTCAAACCTCAGCCGAATGGCAGCCAACCTCCAGCCACTGGAGTGACCCCCTCCTTCAGCTGAGTGTGCATAGTTTTTCACTCTGACTCCACCCTTTCACTGAATTACAGGGTCTGACCAGGATAAGGTACTTCTCATTAGATCTTAATGTCCACAAATCATAACAGAAAGAATATTTTAGCACAGAGATTGTTGTTTAAAAAAGGGAATGGTAGGGGACCAGCCGGGCCCATCAAGGTAAAATGGAGACATTTTGAATGGCTGCTACTGTACATATTACTCAGCATTTCAGGGAGCATCAGCAGCCAGTGCTAAAAAGCAACTGTCAAGAGAAAATCAGAAAGCATGAGCAGCTCTATAAATGCATCATGTTTTCCAGGTTTCTGAGCTTCAAAGCTGTGTGTTCACACAAAAGCAATGGAGAGAAAAAAAATTATGTTAAGAGGGAAAGTAGATGTGAGTCCTGTTATCTCTGGTATAAAATTAGCTCTAATAAAGGTTTACGGGAAAGGAAACATCATACTACCGTATTTTCACGACCATAAGGCGCACCGTACTAAAAGGTGCACTCTCAGTTATGTGTGCCATTTCTGTATTTAACACACACATAAGGCGCACCGGACTATAGGGCGCATTTTTTATATACAGGTACATGTCCTCTACTACCTTTAAATACCTCTACTGCGTATTTAAAAATACAGCGGGGGCAAAACTGAGTATGACTGTGCTTTATTCATGTATTTATTACAAAGTATTAATCAAACCTGCGAGCTGGCCATGAGACAGACACATCGCAGATGACACAGCGCTGTGATCACTCCTAAATTAACTTAAAATCCTGAAACCTGCCGACGGAATATGTTCGCTTTTATTGCCGGTATCCTGGTGCCTGCAGTTTAAATTATTTAGATGAAAAACACCTGCCAGCCGCCGCGGTGAGGCTGCTGTTGAAGGGATTTCTACTGTCGGTGTACCGCTGGTATGTGGGGGTCTGAGCGCCTCCGACAGAAATAGATAATCTGGATGAACTGATTGCAATTAAGTTTTCAGGTGGACTTTCTCACTTAAAAACATATTAAAACTACTTTATTCCCACTGATCACAGCAAATATAGCTGCAAATATAGTCCAAGCATCTACAATCCATCCGCAAACGGTGGCGTAACTTGCCCGGCGCTGCCTTCCACTTATCCTGAAACTGTGGTCTCCGTCTGTCATCCATCGCTCCCACGCCGCTCGCATCCTTACTTTGAACGGCCGCTTCACACCGATGTTGAGCGGTTGAAGTTCCTTTGTCAGACCCCCGGGATAACGGCGAGCACAGCATCCATTTGATTCACCTTTTTTTTCACATCGGCTGTGAGATGGGCACGCAGCGATGGTGATGCATGGAAAAGGCACCTGGTCTCCTCACATACACCTGCCTTTCATCATCTCCTCATCCATCCAGCCTTTTTCATTTGCGTTAATGTCATCAGAGCGCTGTGTCTGTCTCGCTGTCAGCTCCCAGATCAGCTTCTCTGATTGGTTGATGCGGCACGTCCAGCAGCAAAACTTCAATTTTTCCATCTCGAGCAGCAGCAGCACGTTGGCGGTGCGTCAGATGCTTAATAAACGCTCCCGACGTGCTGCACCTGCTGCTCAAAACGCGCTCCGGGACCTTTTGCTGCGCCTATACGCGCGTCAAAAATTGACTTTGCATGTAAACTCGCTGCTTCTGCTGCACCTGCTGGGTCCGGTTCACACCGATGTCGAGCAGTTGAACAGCGAGCACAGCGTTAATTTGTTTCCCCATGTTTTTCACATCAGCTGTGAGATGGGCACGCATGGAGTTACATATTAACAGCGATGGTGATGAGTGGAAAAAAAACACCTGGTCTCCTTACATTCAGCCACTCTTTCATCGTCTCCTCAATGAGGTGGTCTCAAAAGTCGCAGTTACAACACACATAAGGCGCACCGCACCAAAGGGCGCACCGCACATTTTTAGGGGAAAAAAAGACGTTTAAGTGCGCCTTATAGTCGTGAAAATACGGTACTATGTTTTCTTAGGGCCAAAGCAGGT